GGAAATGGTCCAGTTTCATTCTTCTGCATGTGGCTGTCCAATTTTCCCAACACCATTGTTGAAGAGATTAAGTCAAATAACTTTTAAAGATCTTTGTGTGCTTCAGATTTTTTAAAAAATGCAATATATTTTATTTTATTTATTTTTTTAAGATTTTATTTATTTATTTGAGAGAGAATGAGAGAGAGCACATGAGAGGGGGGAGGGTCAGAGGGAGAAGCAGACTCCCCGCCGAGCAGGGAGCCCGATGCGGGACTCGATCCCGGGACTCCAGGATCATGACCTGAGCCGAAGGCAGTCGCTTAACCAACTGAGCCACCCAGGCGCCCCAAAATGCAATATATTTTAAACATCAGATTCTTTTTTTTTTTTTCTTTTCCCTCAATACAATTCCTCCTTTTTCCCTGCATGGGAACTCTGACCTTGGTGGATCAAGGACTTAGAGAAGCAAGGTCAGCAAGTGTCAAGAGCAACAACTTGGTTATTAGGGGCTTATTCCTTCCTTCTTTCCTTCCTTCTTCCTTCCTTCCTTTCTTCCTTCTTCCTTCTTTCCTTCCTTCCTTCCTTTCTCCTCCTCCTCCTTCTCCTCTTCCTCCTCCTCGTTTTAATAGACAGGTGTTACCTATGAGTGTTTTTTTTTTTCTTCCAGATCTTTGAGGCATAAATAGGAAGTCATTAATAGCAACTCAGTAATGAGGAAGCTTGCTCTTGCTCTTAGAACCAAAAACCTTCCTGTGTGACAAGACCAGTTTCCCGCTGATCCTGCAATACCAGGATAAGCAAATGCTTATTTGGTGATGGTCAGTATATATATAAAGATTTACTGAGATTTGGTAGTCAAACCAAAGAAAGCAATTTGGTGCAACAAAGACCTAAGATACATGGTGACTTTTGACTAAATGTATCATAATTGAACAAGATGCTTATAGATGGTAATGTTCTTTCTTAAAAGGAGAAAGCATTAAATGCCACTGGAATGAATTAGATAGGCATATATATAAGAAATACAGGGACTTTTTTCTGTTTTAAATATTTATATTAATTGAAGTCATATTTTAAAATAATTTTACTGGAGATGTCCCATATTTAAAATGCTAGTTATAATAGCTTATAAAATTTATTGAATTATTTCACAGCATTTGTGAAATGAAATATTTTTATATATTCATAACATATGGCAGGGGTCAGTTTATTTCAATAACTGCATGATTGTATTTTCAGCATTCATAATATCTGTGATACATTTCATAAAACATAATTTTCCTATAGAGAGGATCTGACTAAAGCTGACTGGAATTTTTTTTAACAGATTTACAAAGAAGCTTTTCTTTCCTCCTCTCTAATTGAACATTATTTGAACTTAAATTCCCATCTTTTGTGCCATTAGAGCAAGCCACAGTTTCCTTGTTCTACTTAAGAACATTTTAGAGACATCTACTGGAAAAGCACATTATTGCAAATTTTATAAAATTGGTTTAAAAAGTATATTGTTGCTGACATTCCAAAAAAATGTCTTGGATCCCACATCATAAAATTAGGTCCCTTTCTGAAGATAACTCTTTGATCCTCAAAAAGGTATACCAAATGTAAAATACATCAAAACTATTACTTTGCTGTTGGACTTAACGCTTCTTCCTTTTTTTATCCAGCAAAATTCTATTCACTTATACTTTTAAAAAAATTAGTTTCCTCTAGCTAGTATGACTAATATTTTTAATAAACTAATCTAGAACACTTTGCCAGAATTTTGATTATCTAAATTGTAGCAAAATGAGCATGTATGGAGGTTCAGTAATATTACAAACAGCATATTGTAGAGTAAGACAACAGGACGAATTGCCTCATGGATTTTGAATCACAATATCCCTTTCTAAGAGGTTGGAGATGGAGTTTTGGGGTTGGGGGGAGAAAAAAAAGAGAAAAAGGTAGAGAAGTGGAGGAGGAGAAATAAAAGAGCGTACAGTTGCTAGCTGCTCCATTTTATTCCTGTTCTATGGATTTTCCTTGTATATTTATAAAGATCACCCTACTGCAATCTCAATGAAAAATAAATTGTTACTTTTGTATTATGACATTTATTTTATTTGTGGGGATGGAACTTTTGGGGGAAGTCGGGATTTGTAAAATTTGTGCAGTATTTTACAAATTTTCTATGGATAAAATAATCTCCCAGTGCGAAGGACTTAACGCTGAAGTAATTATCACAGAAGCTACATGACCATGTTATTCCAAACCCTTAAAGGCTCTGAAGAAGTTTGAAGAATGGATGAGCCACACTGATTATTCTTGTCATATTTGGGGCTGCTCATCATATGAGACAGCGCGGAGAGTGTTGTCAAAGGAAACCTGACAATTTTCCCTTCCATATAAAAACGAGACTGTTGGCACATATATGAAGTGTGATGGTGGGGGGGACTTGGAATGTAGGAAGGAGGAATCAGAAGGGGAAAATGTGGAAGGAAAGAAAGAACAAAAGGAAGGAAGGAAGGAAGGAAGGAAGGAAGACAAACCTAGGATAGATGGAATAATGAAGACTGACTCAAGGGACAAAGGGACCCGGTAGTTCTTGATACTACCAGTCCATCAACTGCACTAATAAAAAATACAACAGCTTTTATGTACTGCAATGAAAGTGAAGAGTAGGACACTCAGAACATTGTAGGGAGCGACAGTAGGGTTTTTTTTGGAATCACAGTGATATGGAGTTGATTCTATGACATGACACAATGGGCACGGCTGCCCTCAGAAAGTTATTCCTACCAGGGATTTCAATAGAAAGATGACCTTTCCACAAAAGCTTCATCAGCAGATGCCTGAATTATGAGTAATTCTTTTTTTTTTTTTTAAAGATTTTATTTATTTATTCATGAGAGACAGAGGCAGAGGGAGAAGCAGGCTCCCCGCGGAGCAGAGAGCCCGATGCGGGACTCGATCCAGGGACTCCAGGATCACGACCTGAGCCGAAGGCAGACGCTTAACCGACTGAGCCACCCAGGTGTCCCTATGAGTAATTCTAATTACAGTACTGTGACAGAAGGTCATAGTCAGATCTGTTCTGGAACATTTTTGCTAATATCCACAGGTTGCTTCCAAATAGAACATGAGATGTCACTAAACAATCAAAGCTAAACTATTTGAATTCAATTTAAATATTTCATGTGATGCTTTGAAAAAAAGGGGATAGCAATACCTAGTAGATATTCAAAACTGTCAATTAGCCTTGTTTCTTGTGTGTACATTTATAGTGATGGAATTCTATTATTTTTCCTCACAAATGTTTATAGTCCACCTTAGTGATTAATAATCGATAAGTAGGTATAAAAGGACAAAGTATGAAGTAACAGCAGTTCTTAATCAGCTGCAGCCCAAGACATTCTTTGACATAAAGATTTATCAGCTTTCAGTTCCATAGGTGCAACAGGGTGTGTAATGACATTCTAAATTTCTAGTAAAGTATGCTGTAAACAAATACTTGAATCTTTAAGAATAATAATGGAATTAATACTCCTAAGATATCCTTCATGGAATTAATACTCCCAAGATCTTCTGCATGAAAGAAGAAAAATATAAAAACTAACCTTAGACTTTAGAAATATAATTCTAAATACTGTTCAGAACTTTTAACCATCTGCTATATACAGATTATAAACAAATATGTTTTACCACTGGGAATATACCTGTGCACCTCACATAAATTAGGAATCATGTGAAAGCACGATCATATGTGGACTTTTTTAGAATATGCTAAATTACCTTGTTTCTAAATACTTTGGCATAGATGATATTTTATTTAAAAGTTATGGACTCTGAGAAACAAACTGAGGGTTCTAGAGGAGAGGAGGGTGGGGGGATGGGTTAGCCTGGTGATGGGCATTGAGGGCACGTTCTACATGGAGCACTGGGTGTTATAAGCAAACAATGAATCATGGAACACTACATCAAAAACTAATGATGTAATGTATGGTGACTAACATAACATAATAAAATAAAATAAAAAATAAATAAAGTTTATTTTACCTGATTATAAATGAAGTACATATTCATACTATAACCTGAAAATGTATTAAATTTTTATAACATCTCTGAAATTGAGGCCAGACCCAGAACAAATAGCATTACAGTTGAATTTGCCTACAGATTCTCACTGAATGGGCTAGAAAAACCATATATAACCTCCCTAACGAAGCTGCAAGTTTCCAAGCGCCTTTGTATTACAACTTTCTTTTTTTAAATGTGAATCATAATGGTTTCTCCACACTTACATTAATTTTTAATCACAGTCTCTCACGCTGCTGATTGAATTCCTCACCACTGCTAATGGTCTTTCTTGTAATATTCATTCATTTAAAATATGTATGCTGATGCCATATCTTATTTTTCAAAGGAAACCTGTTTAAAGCCAAAAGCAACGTAATAGCCACACAGATGTTAGGCCACAGCAGGTTACCACGTGTTTGATTAGCCTTGCCACCAGAAAATCCTTAAAATCACAGTTGATAAAATGGCTCTATTAGGATTTAAGAAGAAAAGCACAATTATTCATGCCACATTTGTATATTCTTTAAAAATGAATTTCATTCATATACATAATATTGTTTCAAATAATTGAACTGGAAAAAACTAGAAGGTAGTTTTATTTTCATATAGGGTCACTTTTAATGATTATTTAAAATATAAAATTAAGATTTCTGATATTTTAATAAGGCATGCCTCCATAGCAAATAGTTAAGAAAAAGTGAGATAGATCTCAACTTACTCGTCCTCTAAAACGAACATAACAATATAGGAATATATAAGACATCTCGTTATGAAATTCAGGGTGCTAAACTAGCTACTAAGTTAGGAAGCTCTAGAGAGGTAACAGTTTTAATGATTTGGCTACGTGTTCAATAACTTTGGTTCAAAAGGGAGACTACAACTCTTTTCTTCACTGGAATCAATTGCTTATTCTTCAGAAGTTTTATGCTTCTAATTATTATAAAATTACTATTAGAATATACCTTTTAGTTGACATTTTGCTCCACTGAATCCAGGACAGCACTTCCATTCCAATGAGGTAACGATTTTATGTTGCATCCTGTAGACAGGATTTGATATCTTCTGAGATCTGGAGAGGAGAGCAATTATTTGTCTCACATTAAATTATCAGTTGGGATAATTAAAGTTTTGGAGATGATACCTAAAATATAAGAAGCATTCAGTAAATGTTATCTGTTATTATTATTATAATCTTCATCATCAATATTATTATTATTATTATTACATATTTATTTATTTGAGAAACAGCACATGAGAGAGCGGGGCGGGGTGGGTGGGGAAAGGGGAGAGGGAGAGAGAAAATCTTAAGCAGGCTCCACGCACAGCACAGAGCTGATGTGGGGCTCGATCTCAGAACCCCAAAATTATGACCTGAGCTGAAATCAAGAGTCAGATGCTTAACCAACTGAGCCACCTTGGAGCCCCTTATCAATATTATTGTTAAACTTACATTTCTTTAAATAAATTACAAAGAGCATTAAGAGTTATGCTATTCGGTATTTTAAGTTTATAACTATCATTACATTTTCTAAACGTAGTATAGCTTTTCCCTTGATAATACTTTTTACTAAACAAATGTTAAAACTTATTTTAATTCTATTTTTTAAATAGCTTATGAGGACAATTTCTTTTATTTCAATTTTTAGTCTTCCTTATATCCTTATAGTTATATCCTTAAGTTAAATAGCTTATGAGGACAATTTCTTTTATTTCAATTTTTAGTCTTCCTTATATCCTTATAGTTAAGGATCTGTTTTCCCCCAAATCAACATCAAACAACTTAAACTGTGTATCAGTGATCTAACTGAAATTATGACAACCACTATGATTTTTAACCCGCACTTTTTCCTTTCTCAAGTTTAAAATTTTTAATTTTTAATATTATTTCTCTCATATGGTATTTATCTCTGATAGAGAGTGGGGAAGAGAGAGAGAGAGAGAAAGAGAGGGAAATAGGAAGGGACCCAACATGAGAAAATATTTCTGAGAAGAAACCATGGAAGGGAAATGAAGAAACTATAACATTTTAGTATAGCAATCAATATAAATGGTGAATGGTACTAAATTGTAGGCCCTATATATGTAAATGTAAATCATAAATACAAATTGGCCATGTTATTCTTACCCTTATGACTTCAATATTTAGCTAATATTTATTGAGTGGGCCTATGAAATGGGTATATATTACCTTGTTTAATTTTCTTATTAGTTCTATGTGGAAAATATTATTATCCTGATATGCTGATGAGGAACCTGAGGAACGGAGAGATGAAATAACGTGCTCAAAGTCTCGAACATAAAAGTGATCGATGTGGGATTTTAATCCATGCTGCGTGGGTTAGCCTCCCTTTTATTTTCTAGAGTTTGTCCCCTACAACTATGTGGGGACAACAGTAGTCAATTTCCTGGATAAACCCTGATCATGTGGAGGGAAATTATTGGAACCGACTGGGCTTTAGGAGACTTGGGTTTTAATTTCTTCTGTGACTTGAAGGGTAATTCAATATGTGTGAGGTTATTCCTCAATTTTAAAATGAGCTATAAGTTCTTTCCATCTCTAAAAGTAGGTTAGTCATTTACCTGTGTTTATTTCAGTAAATTATATTCAGTAAGTCACTCTGTCCAGTGAAATAGCTCCAGCCCAGTAGCTAAAGCTAAATAGAAAGTAAGGCTGTTTGGAAAAGGACTCTGTAGAGTTTATTAGGATGAACTCAAGCAGTTGAGTTACATTATTACTAGAGTCAATGTCCCTGCTTTAGCAAACTGGATCCCTACTATATGTGACTCCGACATAATAAAAGAGAAAGTGACAAAAATGCGTATGTACTGAAATAATGCATGAATGGAGAGACCCATTCAAAGCTAGAGAAAGATAAGAGGTGAGAATAAAGATACATATTTCTGGTTTGTTTAAAGAGAGAGAGGGGGAGAGAGAAAAAAACTCACCTTGAACTCGGACAGTATAATGGGGTTACTGTGGTAATATTTTTCATTACTGAAGAGTTAACAATGCATTCTTTGTATCTCATGTCGACAAGGAAATCGCCACAAAGGGAGTAAATGCTGAAAGCAGAACTGGAGCTCGGCTCTCCCAAATCCCTAAGATGTGCTTAGCTCTCTGGACCATGAACCTCAGCTATTCCTCCAGAGAGTAAGAAACACCTTGATTTTACATATCCTTCCTGTGCACTGTTCCAGACTGTCAATGTGTCAGATTCATTGCCTGAGTTATTTGTATGACAATTTGCATAACATGAGCCATCATGGCCTGAATAATAATTTTAGTTTTTATTTCGGGGTCTTCTGAAATATGCTCAGATAAGCTACTGTGACTATATGAATTCAGAGAATTTATCAATTACTCAGCTCCGCATTTGAGCAATTTTTAAATGTCCTAAATAGGTTTTTTTAAAATGAAAATTAAATAACATGAATAAATGAAAATTAAATAACATGAATCATTAAAATAGGCATATAAAGAAAGGCCCCATTTAGCTGTTTGATCATGCACAATTGCAATTAGGGTGGCTTGCCAAGTTATGGACTTCTCTCTGATGTGGTATGAGGCAGAAATTATCATTAAATTTTAGAACTGTGTATGAATTTCATAAGAATTAAAGGACAGGATTATTGATCAGGTCATAGAATAAAGGTAATAGTAATAGTAAAAATGGAAATAAGCATAAAAGTTAACATTTATTAAAGACTCACAAAGTACCTGTCCTTAGGCTAAGCATATTACTGCATTATCTCACATATTCTAAAAATTCCCATATGAGGCATGTATTATTGGTATCTGCATTTTAACTTACCCCAAATCATGCATCTAATTTACTGTGTTGACCTTACTCTACCCCTATCATACATATGCACCTGGGATGATTAACTTTCTCTATATATTCCAAGACATACATAAATACAGTATAAGCAGTGGCTATTTTCAAAAAATATCACATACCTCTGAGGACAGGATCCACTGGCCCAGCCACAGGGCCCTCTCCCACTTGGAATATAAGTGACTTGGTTGTCTAGTATCACTGTGGGAGATAATCTGGTATGTACATAAGCACACCAATTCCTAAGGAAGAGATAATTTTTGTTAAAAAAATCATTATCAAAAAGAATTCTTTCCATTAAAATTATTTTCATAGGTCTGTATCTATTGCTGTTGGTGTTGTGGATTAGATACTTTGAAAAATTGGTACCTGACCTTAAAATATCTGGAAATGAGAGAACATACTTGTTACTGCATTGCTGTACACATGAAAAGTAAAGAAATGCTACAAGATCAAAGTAAATTAAGAATAAATAAGAGTGGGGTGCCTGGGTGGCTCAGTTGGTTAAGCAACTGACTGCCTTTGGCTCAGGTCATGATCCTGGGGTCCCAGGATCGAGTCCCGCAACCGGCTCCCTGCTCGGCAGGGAGTCTGCTTCTCCCTCTGACCCTCCCCCCTCTCATGTGCTCTCTCTCTCAAATAAATAAATAAAATCTTAAAAAAAAAAAAAAGAATAAAAAGAGTTAAAACCAGAACTTGTATTGTTCAGCTGTAAGTTAAGTAAAAATCCAAGACTGCCCTTATGGCAAATGTCAGCATTAGTACTTAGATTGGAGACTCAGACCTAGGTCCATTACTTCTATTGGACAATGTGCAATAAGACAAAAGCGAATAAGTAAATGCTGTAAAAATTTTAAAAAAGAGGAAAAAAATAACTATTATTAGCAGCAGATGATATGATTGTGAATAAAAAATATGAAATAGCCAGATGCAAATGATGATAAGAGCTCAACAATGTAGTTAAGATCAATATAAATTTTTTATAATTGAATAAAAATGTATGGCCACAAAGTTAAGATCAGTTACAGTTCAATATACCAATAATAAATTTAAAAAATGTACTACTTACAATAGCAAAAATAACATTATTCTTCTTAAATCCAACAAAAGAAGTGTAAGATATAACATTTAATTGTTAAGCTTTATTGAAAAGCCCCAAAGAAGATCCAATAAATCCTGTTAATGGATGGGAACAGCCAATGTAAATATATCAATTCTCCTCAAATTAATCCACAGATTTAGAGCCTTTTTAAGTTAAACCTTAATTTGATACAAGTTGAATAGGCTTATCCTGTTTTTTATGTAATAAACTAAAAACACAAATTTCAGAAATTTCTGGCTCTGGCCATTACAGAACATCAGATTTACTTTCCCTTGGTAAAAATCTGTAAAGCTGGACAAGATATATAAAGCAATAATTTTCAGATGTTGAACAACAGACAATGCAGTGAAATGATTTTTTGAGAGAAGGGAACAACATGATGTGAATTCCATATTGAATCTAGTTTTCTGCCTGCAAACAATTTTCAAACTACATCGCAAAGTCGTGGGCCCCAAAGAGAGAGAGCACTGGGTGAAGGAAATAGAGATGTGAGTTTGGGTCTGCTGAGGTGGTTAGAATATATAGATAAAGTTCATAAAATGAGGGGGAGTGGCAGAGATGTCATCTTTATAGTCAACATAGGGGTTTGTCTAAATCTTGGGTTGAATACCATGCTGTGCTTGCAAATAGTCTTTGCAAGGCCACCAGAGAACAAATACCATGAAGCTGTGTGAGCTGAACAGAGATTCCAGATTTTACCCCATCATGGAGAATCCTGACGAGCCAAAGAGGAGAGTTCTCATTAAACATCTGAGTGTTTGCCTGAGCCTAACAATGACTGCATCCAGTAAGGTAAGGCTAATCTACACACATTCCAACAAAGCCTTAACAAAAATTCCATCCTTGATATAACTAACTCCATGCCAGAACAGAAGTCAATGCTTTCTAAGGAAGACAACAAAATCTGTTCATAACATAGCAGCCCAGCATAAAAAACGAACAACAATAAGAACTAGATATGTGAAGAAGGTGGAATATAGGACCAATACATGAGTGAAAATCCAAAAAACAGAGATGACATAGAAGTTGAATTGACAACCAATGACTAAAACAGTTACTGTAAACCTGTTCAAGATTATCAAGGAAAAAAATGAGCATAGCAAATAAACTCATGGCAAATCTCAAGGAAAAAAAAAAAAGAACCATTAAGTAGAACAAAAACATACAAGATATGAATAAAAATTGCCTGGATTGGGCCTAACAGAAGTGTGGACCCTGGACATTAAGATCAATGAACTTGGAGGTAGGGCAAAAGAAACTATCCAAACTGAAGTACAGAGGAAAAAATATTAAAATATAAATGAACAGAAACTCAAGTGGTCTAAAATAGAGTTCTAGAAGAGTAGGAGAAAAAGATCAAGGAAGAGAAAATAGTTGAAGAAATAGTGGCTGAAATTTTTCTAAATTTGGTAGAAGAGTATCAGTCTTCAGATCTAAGAAGCTCAATGAATCCAGGAAGATAAACACAAAGTAAAACTTCACTTAAGCACGTTATAGATAAATTCCAGATAAAAAATATAAAGAGAGAAAAAAGGCAGACAGACATTGATTCAGAAGAGAAGGGAACTACCTCAACTTAATAAAAGGGCATCTCTGAAAAACCTATAACTAACATCACACTAAATGGTGAAAGAATGAAAGCTTTCCCTTGAGATCAGGAATAAAGCAAGAATGTCTGTTCTTGTAACTTCTATTAAACATTTTACCGTAAGTTCTAGTCAGGCAAATATGTATATGTATATATGTATATATATATATATATATATATATTCATAGAGACATATTTCTCCTATGTAGAAAATTATTAAAAATCCACAAAAGTGCTACTAGAACTTACAAGCAAGTATAGCAAGGTTGCAATATACAAAAAGCAATTGTATTTCTGCACACTAGCAATGAACTACTCAAAGATGAAATTAAGAAAACAATTCCACTTACAATAGCATCAAAAATAAGCACATGCTCAGGAATAGATTTAACGAAGGAAGTACAAAAATTACAAAGTATCACTGAAAGAAAGACAACCTAAATAAATGGAAAGCGTTCATCAACTGGAAGACTTAATATTGTTAGAATGGCAATACTCCCTAAAACGATCGACAGCGTCAACACAATCCCAGTCAAAATCCCACCTGCCTTTTTTTGCAGAAATTTAAAGCTGTTTTTAAAATTCATGTGGAAATGCAAGAAACTCAGAATAGCTAGAACAATATTGAAAAATAAGTGGAGGGCTCAGTACTCATATTATCCAATATCAAAGCTTATTACAAACTACAGTAAGTGAGACTGTATTCTAATGTTTGAATGTCATCTAAAAATACACATGGAATGGAATTTAGAGTTTAGAAATAAACCTGTACGTTTATGGTCAACTAATTTTTGACAAGGGTGCCAAGCAATTCAATGGGAAAAGAATATTCTTTTCAACAAATGGTGGTAAGATAAATGGATAGCCATAAGCAAACAGGTAAAGTTGGGCCCCTATCTCATACCAGATATAAAAATCAACTCAAAAATGGATCAAAGACTTAAAAGTAAGAGCTAAAACTGTAAAACTATTAAAAGAAAGCAAAGGCATATATTCTCATGACCTGGGATTATCTTGCCAATGTAGTAAGGCAAGAAAGAGAAGTGAAGTCACCCAGACTGAATATTAAGTAGAAGTATGTTTACTTGCAGAAAACTTGGGTTTTATGTAGAAGATCATGATGAATCTACAAAAAAAGCTATTGGAGGTAATTAGTGAACTTAGCAAGATCTGAGGCAAATATACAGAAAAATCAATTGTTGTTTTTCTATGTACTAACTAAAATGCTTAACTATATAAAGTTTAAGAAATTTTGTTCACATAAAAACACGAAAAGTGATTGAAAAGAGAGGCTATGAGGTGCCTGGATGGCTCAGTCGGTTGAGTGTCCGATTCTTGGTTTCAGCTCAGGTCATGATCTCAGGGTCGTGGGACTGAGCTTTGCAGATGGCACTGCACTAAGATTAAGATTAAGATTCTCTCCCTCTCCTTCTGCCCCTGTACCCCATGCTCTATCTCTCTATGTCTAAAAAAAAAAGAGAGAGAGGCTATGAATCAGATGATTAGCATTCATAATATATAACAAATTCCCACCAATAAGTAAGACAAGGACAGGGAAAAAATAGAACAATAGAAAAATGGACAAACTACTTGAACAAACTTTTTTTTGTAAAGATTTTATTTATTTATTTGACAGAGAGAGACACAGAGATAGGGGGACTACAAGCAGTGGGAGTGGGAGAGGGAGAAGCAGGCTTCCTGCCAAGCAGGGAGCCCTATGCGGGGCTCGATCCCAGGACCTGGAATCATGACCCGAGCTGAAGGGAGACGCTTAACGACTGAGCCACCCAGGCGCCCCTTGAACAAACATTTTATACAAGGAAATACCTATGGCTACTAAGCGTACAAAAAGAAGGTCACTTTTGTTGGTACCAAGAAAATGCAAATTAAGATCACAATGGAATAATATTTGATACTCCAGGATAAGCAAACATGGCGAATTCAACAATCTCACATATTCAGAGGATATAGAGGATAAGAGGAATCTCTTAAATACTGTTAATAGAAGTATCTATTGGTACAACCACTTTGAAAAACAATTTGTTAATATTACGTGAAAATGAACATGCAAATCCCCTCTGACCCAGTGGTTATACTTCTTGATATATATTTTAGAGAAACAATTGCACAGGTATACCAGTAATCATGTATCTGAATATTTATAGCAGCAGGCATTCTTTATAATTATCAAAAACTGAAAGTAATTCAAATGTCCATTTAACATAGAAAGGAGAAATACATGCTGAAATACTTACACAGTGGACATTGCCCTTAAAACAGTGAACTATAATATTATCCAATAGCCCAAATTTAACTTATATAACAAACCTGTGTGATACAAGTAAGCTACAGGAGAAATACAGTATGATGCATTTTTCTTACATAAAGCTAAAAAATAAAAGTGAACAATATATTGTTTAGGGATACCTGTATATATGGTAAAATTATATTTAATAATGCATCTATTTTGTATGGATCAAATATAGCATGATTTAAAATATTATGATTAAGAATAAAATAAATAAATCCTGTCTCATAGACTTAGCTGAATT